TAGAACTCGCCATGGGAAATCTTGGTGGAGATGTTTATGGAACCAACCCAACTGACCTCTTCAAGTCCATCACTCCACCAACAGAATCTGATAAACCGTTGATCATCGACTTATCCGTGGCTGCAATGGAAGAGCTCATGAGGATGGCTCAAGTTGACGATCCACTTTGGAAGAGTTTTGTTTTAGACGAAGAAGAATATGCACGGACGTTTCCTAGAGGGATTGGACCTAGACCGGCTGGATTTAGATCTGAAGCTTCACGAGAAAGCGCGGTTGTGATCATGAATCATGTTAACATTGTTGAGATTCTCATGGATGTGGTAATTAACATTTTTCATTTTGCATTTTATAAGCAATCTTCTCTGTTTTTAAAATTTTTTAACAACACTGATATGATATTTTTGCAGAATCAATGGTCCACGGTTTTCGCGGGGATGGTTTCTAGAGCGATGACATTAGCGATTTTATCGACTGGAGTTGCAGGAAACTATAATGGAGCTCTTCAAGTGGTAAATTTTGGTTTCTTATTCTCTTCTTGTAATATTGTAAACTTGGAGCTGAAGCAACCACTCTGTTTTGGCAGATGACTGCAGAGTTTCAAGTTCCATCACCGTTAGTCCCGACCCGCGAAACCTACTTCGCACGTTACTGTAAACAACAGGCAGATGGTTCTTGGGCGGTTGTCGATATTTCCTTGGATAGTCTCCAACCGAATCCTCCGGTTAGATGCAGGCGGCGAGCCTCTGGATGTTTGATTCAAGAAATGCCAAATGGATACTCTAAGGTAACAATTAATAAAAAAAAACATTAGGTTATGTATGCAAGAAATGTCTCTTTAAGTAGACAAAATTGATGTAACAGGTGACTTGGGTAGAGCATGTGGAAGTTGATGACAGAGGAGTTCATAACTTATACAAACACATGGTTAGTACTGGTCATGCCTTTGGTGCTAAACGCTGGGTAGCGATTCTTGACCGCCAATGCGAGCGGTTAGCTAGCGTCATGGCTACAAACATTTCCTCAGGAGAAGTTGGCGGTATAACATACTGTCTGTTTCATAACTATTTTCTCAGAACCAGAATCAGAATCAGAATCACAGTACTATATTGATGAATTGTGCAGTGATAACTAACCAAGAAGGGAGGAGGAGTATGCTGAAATTGGCGGAGCGAATGGTTATAAGCTTTTGTGCAGGAGTGAGTGCTTCAACAGCTCACACATGGACTACATTATCCGGTACAGGAGCTGAAGATGTTAGAGTGATGACTAGGAAGAGTGTGGATGATCCAGGAAGGCCTCCGGGTATCGTTCTTAGTGCAGCTACTTCATTTTGGATCCCTGTTCCTCCAAAGCGAGTCTTCGACTTCCTCAGAGATGAGAATTCAAGAAACGAGGTAACTCTTTTAGTTACTAAGCTCTCTCTACAACAACTTTGTACTGAATTTGTGAGATTTTGCAGTGGGATATTCTGTCAAATGGAGGAGTTGTGCAAGAAATGGCACATATTGCTAATGGGAGGGATACCGGAAACTGTGTTTCTCTTCTCCGGGTAAATGTGAGTAGATATTTGTTAAACCGGGTACTCTTGTTATGATCATTCTGATCTAGGCTTAATACTTTTCAATCTTTCTTTATGTCATAAGAGTGCAAACTCAAGCCAGAGCAATATGCTGATTCTACAAGAGAGCTGCACTGATCCTACAGCTTCCTTTGTGATCTATGCTCCAGTCGATATTGTAGCGATGAATATAGTACTTAATGGAGGCGATCCGGACTATGTCGCTCTTCTTCCATCGGGTTTTGCTATTCTTCCAGACGGTAATGCCAATGGTGGAGGTGATGGAGGGTCTCTCTTGACCGTTGCTTTTCAGATTCTGGTTGACTCGGTTCCTACAGCTAAACTGTCTCTTGGCTCTGTTGCAACTGTTAACAATCTAATTGCTTGCACTGTTGAGAGGATCAAAGCTTCCATGTCTTGTGAGACTGCTTGAAAATCCACCCATTAGGTACTTTTAGTAAACAATCCATTAGGTACTTGCAGTAAATAAATGTGGAGATTTTCTTCTCGATTTTACGCCTTTATGTACTCATATACTTATTTCTGCAGGAAATGAAGAAAAAGGAGCGAAATTTCGGTTCGAAGAGAGTTTTGTTTTTGGTGTTAAAAGGGAAAAGATTGAGAAAAAAGCGGAGGAGTCAAGAGCGAACCTCACAAGATATACCATTGAGTAATGTTAGTGTTGAGTTTTGCTCTGCTTAATTTGTTGAAACTAAGCAGCGAAAATTTACTTTGGAAGTAAAAATGCAAATGGTTTTACGAGGTTCGGGAATTGACTTCCCCTGCAACATACTTGTGTTACAGAAGAAGAAAACTAGGTCAGAAATGTTTTATTTTTGTGTTACAGTTATGTTTTTTTTGCTTTCTTTCTTGTGGTTAGATGGAACCTCGTCAAGAAAAGCGTAAACTCCAAGCATAAATTTTATTTTAACCAAAGGAAACATATCATTGTTGCTGAGAGAAGAATAACTTGAAACAGAATTGGGAAAAAAAGAAGAAAGCATAACGTTTTCGCAGGGAAAATCAAAATCAGTACCTCGTACCAAAGTTATCCACAACCACCTCAGGAAAGCTTTCTTCTGGCAAGAAGAGCGGATTTTTTTGGTCGGATGAGGAACTAGACCACGAAGAATTGCGAGAATTCCAAATGGCAAGAAAGGCAAATACGCCAATAACAACTTGCTAGTTACCTTCCCTGAACCTATCATATCTCCAAGGATAGCAGCCTAAAAGATTCACAAAAACAAGAGCAAAACAAAAATGAGAAAAATATACAAATCGAGCCGGATATAGCCAATGCGCATATATTGTAACTCCATAAGAATGCAAGATTTTATTCTTGGTCTTCTCAGTGCAGTGAAATGATAATGTGTTTCCACTCATAAAAAAGCTAACAGTCAAAGAGAGTAGATTCAAGAAAACTTTCAGAATCTTGAATGAAGTAACAAAAGTAGGTCAATGCAGACAATTTACAGAATCTTGAATGAAGTAACAAAATTGTCTATAAAACAAACCCTTCTCCCTCGATCGATGAAAGAAAGTTATGATTGATTTTTACAGATCAATACTTAAAAACACCCCAAGAACAGAGCCAAGAAAAAAAAAAGCATAGAGAAAGAAAATGAAAAAGCTCAGTGTTACTTACCATTGAAGTGACGAAGGAAGATCCATACAACAAACATGTGGTATTGAACCAAGACTTCCCGGTAAGAATCGCGTAGACGTTAGCAATGGAGAGAGGCCATAGGAACACAAGCTCATGCCAGATGAGTCCGACAAAGAAGTAGGGTTTCTCCTTGAACAAGTAATCATTAAACTCGGAGCTATACAAGTTTTTCAGATCTGTGAGGAACTTTGGGTAGATTCCAGGAAGAACTACTTATAATTTAACAAGAAAAAGCCAATGGAATCTTGATCAAATTAACGAATAACTTTTAATTACTTGATTGATGGTTTACTCAAATCGGACTAATCAAACCAAGAAGAATATTTTTGAATTCAAGCAAGAAAACATATCATTGATGCTCTGAGAGAAGAAACAAGAATTCCACAGAAACCATAAAGCAATAATAACATGGAAAAAAAAAAACTCTTAAGGCACATAAAGAAAAAGGATGTCCCAAATGAGAAACCACCTCAGGCCAGCTTCCTCCTAGGCTTAATAGTCGATCTCTTGCCAACAGAACCGGTGTTTTTGGAGGAACGAGAGACTAAACCACGAAGAACGGCAAGGATCCCAATAACCATGAAAGGCACATACATCATTAGCAATTTGTCCGATGCCTTCCCGGAACCTATCATCTCTCCAAGGATCGCAGCCTAAAAGATTTAACAGAAAAATACATGAGAAGAAGATACAAATAGGCACATAGTCAAGCAAGAATACGAGCCAATGCATAAACCATAGGTCCACAAGAATGCAGACCATACATAGGAGTAAGTTATAGCCAAAAACCTAAAGGCTTCGAGATTGATTCTAGTCAAAAACCAATCAAGTTTTTCCACAACAAGAAGATGAAGAAAAAGGAAACAACTTTTAACTAATTTCAGTCAACTAGTTTAACTTGATCTATTCTAATCAATACACAAAACTCGAAATCTTTCTCTAATCAAATACACAACTTTATGAATCTAGTGAACACAACAACCATAAAGCTTGAATGTATAGACTACGAATCCCTACTATAGTGATCCTCATCATCAAATGAAGAAACTTTAGATCAAATACCAAACAAAATCAGACCAAAATTCCAGAAAGAGACAGAACTTGAAAAAAAATGTACCATTGAAGTGACGAGGGAAGCTCCATACAACAAGCAAGTGGTACCAAACCACGACTTTCCGGTAAGAATCGCGTAGACGTTAGCAATCGAGAGTGGCCATAGGAACAAGAGCTCGTGCCAGACAAGCCCAACAAGGAAAAGCGGTTTCTCCATGAGCAAGTAATCACCGAAATCGGAAATGTAATTGCTTTTCAGATCGGTGAGAAACTCCGGGAAGATTCCTTTAGGAAGTGCCGTTTGGCCGTCGATGAGAGGCGCAATAACCGCCATTAAAGCGAAGTATAAGAAGAGAATCACATCGATCAGCTTCCCCAAAGCTCCCATCTTTTTCTCCGATTCGAATCTGAGAGCTCCAAAAAGAGTCGTTGACCGGAAAAACCT